ATTCTCCCACACTTCAAAATAAAGAAAAAGATATCCAATCTAGAGGATATCAATATTTTGCCCAAACCAGCTATGGCAGACAATGTATTCCAGCTCATCAAATTCCTAAATATGATACCATACACATTCGAAAAAGTCCTTACACTACAATCACTCCTCAAGAAAAAGCCTTTCTTATTCAAAGAGAGATTCAGAGAAATACCATTCGTATCAAAGTTATGAAAAGAATTGAGAGAAGTGAGGAATTTATTCAATATCACAGAGAGCAAAATAAGAAATTATCTGACCAGCTTAAAAACATTGTTTATTAATATTGCAGGATTATGGATTCAAAAGCAGAAAATTCCAGGCCAAAGACTCCTCAGGATTATGAGATGAGTCTTACTCCTGTCACTCAAAACAGATTCCAACTCTTATCAGATTTTCCAGCACTGACTTATAGTCAAGCTGCTTGTACTCCAACTTCTTCTCAAATTAGACCAATTCAACAACTACCAAAATCCCTAGAAAAATCCATAGAAAATACCTATTTTACAAAGCCATTTACTCAACATATTACTTTAACCAAATTCCAAGAAGTACCTCTGTATTCTACACTCAATCAAATTACTCAAAGGATCTTTCCTCCAAAATGTTTTTGGCAACCAGATGATCCCTCCAAAAATCTGGATTATTATGAATTAATTCTTACAGATACTCAATCTGTAGAAATATTTCCCATTCCAGACAGAAAAAATCCAAATATAATTAGCCACTCAAAATGTATAATAAAGAAAGTTTGTTCTCCAAAAGAATGGACTTCTCTTTATTCTAAAAAATCCTTTTCAGTAAGATTCATTCCGGATGGATTCACATATCAAGATTACAAAATGGCATGGTATCGTGCCTTCCTTTTTAGACCATTCAATCACTCATGGTTCTTCACATTCAAAGAAAATTGCAGCAGAGAATTTCCAATTTGGTTCAATCACTGGTGGAAATGGTTTGGACCACAACCAGAGATATTACCTCCGAATGTGCTTATGGGATTTCAAACATATCTAAAAAGAGCAAGGGGGGAAGAATATACAAGACCAATTTTATTCCATATGGAGTTCAAAGTTCCGTGGATATTTTGCTGGAGTTTCAAAATTCATCAAGAACTGGAAAAACCACTCCCAATGTCATTAGTCAGAGAATTCAAAATTAAATGGTAGACGGGATTCAATCAAGAATTTGGAGATCAACAAAATGTTATCAGATTCTTAACTACCGGAGATAAACTCAAATGGACGAAACCGTCATCCACTGCACCAACTTCAACCACTACTCCAAAGATGACAAGACAAGCAACCACTATTCCAACAACCACGTCTTATCCAACCACTCCAAAGAAAGATAAAGAGAAAGTGACGGAAATGGCATCCGAAGAAATTGCCAGTAACTTTTTGATAAAGCAAATGATGCAGAATCCCGAGATGTTAAAAGAATATCTGAGTTATTTACAAAAGCAAGATAAAAAGGAAGAAACTGACAAAATTGAGGAGTCAGCCGGATCATCCGAATCCACCTTTGATCCCTTTGGTGGACCATGCGGACAAGACCCAAACGACTTTTGAAAAAGATGTCGGCCACAATTCAAATACAAATGAAATGCAGATTCAAATCCAGATGAAATGCGGGACAGACTTCTCTATAAATAGACTCAAAATCAGAAGACAAGGCATCGGCGAAGAACTATCAGAGCAAAATCTCTTTGTATAAAAAACCTCTCAACTACTCTTACTAGCTCTTACCTACTCCCAACTACTTTCAACCAAACCTTGTATTCTAGCTCTTGTTACAAACTTTCAAGAATTCAATAAAGAAGTTTAAAGGTTTCATTCCTACAAATCTTCCGTTGCAAATCTCTAATTACAAGTAAGTCCTTTATATTATAAGTTCAAATCTTCATGCTTATTACAAATTTATATTGCCTGGGTAGAAGTGGTATCAGAGCAAAATCTCTTTGTATAAAAAACCTCTCAACTACTCTTACTAGCTCTTACCTACTCCCAACTACTTTCAACCAAACCTTGTATTCCAGCTCTTGTTACAAACTTTCAAGAATTCAATAAAGAAGTTTAAAGGTTTCATTCCTACAAATCTTCCGTTGCAAATCTCTAATTACACGTAAGTCCTTTATATTATAAGTCCAAATCTTCATGCTTATTACAAATTTATATTGCCTGGGTAGAAGTGGTAACAGAGCCACACCCCTGATTAAAGTGCATACGCATATTTAAACTTTGCATTTATATTTGCTTTACTTCGAATTACGTTTCTATTTTAACTTGGCTATTTCATGCATTCATGTTACATATTTTATTAAACTTTTACTAAAAACGTTGGTAAAACCTGATGCCTTGTTAGACCGTTGGTAAGTCCAGGATAGGATGTTCCAGGCATAGTGCTCGGTTGTTCCCGTCTAAGTAAAATTTAATTAAATATTAAGCATGGCTGCATTTCTTAGACAATTTAAATTAGGATCTAATTCAAAGCAAGCTAATATAGTACAAAGTCATGAATATCATATACCTATAAATAATTCAGATTGGACTATTCCAGAAGAAAAGATAGAACATATATATAGAATAGGTTCGTTAGATTTCAAAATAGCATTATCAGTTAAAACTCATGAAGAAACAATTTCTATTCAAGAAGAATATCAAACAATTCCATTATTAAATCATAATACAATTAAAAAATATTTAAGTAAAGGATATCGATATATTCATATAGGTTTAATACAAATTGCTGTAAAACCTTTATTCCATTTAGGAGTTGATGCCCCTATATATTTAGCATTAAGAGATACTAGATTAAAAAGATATAAAACTTCTTTACTTTCTATGATTCAAACAAATGTTTGTAATGGACCTATATATTTTAACTGTGCTCCAAATTTTTCAATAGATCTAACAGACCCACATATTTTAAATTCAGTTGTATTAGATGTTCATTTACAAGGAAATGAATTTGAAAAACATACAAAGAATTTTGCAATAATATACAGAATGTATTATAGACCTTTATCATCACATTTAAATCCAAAATTTATAATGACTCCAACTCTTAAAGAAGAAACAACTTTATTACAAGTAGATGCAGATAGACCTACAACTTATACTCCCAAAAGATTAAAATGGAATGAAATAACCATACCAAGTGAATTTGAAATTAAAAATCCACAAATAGCAAGAAATATAGAACAAACTACTGCTGAAGATATTATAGAAAAACCTGATGGAAATACTTTAATACGATTCGCTTCATTAAGAGAAAGACCTAGTTCAAGTTATTCCTGGCTACCAGCTAGACATTCTAATTATGAATCTACTGAAATAAATTTTCCTGAAGAAAATACTTCAACATTTAAATATAAAACTCCTGTTCCAGAAGTTATAAATCAAAATCAAACAGAATATTCCCCAACACATTCACAAATGAAAGTAGGAGAAATAAATGTAATAGATAGACCATATAAAATAAATCATAAATATTTACAAGAAGATTTTGATGATGAAGAAAATACTGAAAAAAGAATTTGGTTTTTCCAATTAGAATCACAATATAAAGAAAAATTAATTATAGAATGGAAAAATGAAATAGATAAACAAAAATTTGATTTTCCTTTCTTTACATGGTTAACATTTTATACATCAAAATTAGGAATAAACAATGTATATAATACACCACAAATAAATGTTCAAACTAATTTATATAAAAAATGGAAATTAAAAGATGATCAAATATTAACCTCAATACATCCCCCATTACAAGAGGTAAAAATTAAAACAGGACAAGGAGATATAATAGCCTCACCTTTTAAAAAGGGTAGAGAAGCTGAATCAAGTACAAATAATAATGTAAATTTAGATGATATCAAAAAGGTTTATCAACAAAATAATTATACAAATCAAATTATTCATACAATATCTCAACATATGGAAGTATTAAATACTAAGCTTGATACAATAAAGAAATCAGATTTAAAATTTCCAAATGATATTTCAGCACCTCATTTTAAACCTAGAAGCCTGACAAGAGAAAAAGAGCAAGACTTAGTACAAAATATTAATAATCAAAAAATAAATACTACAGATAATTTATTAAATAAAATATCTCAAGCCCTACAAAACTTAACTACAGAATCTAAACCTTCTACTCCAAAAATAAATACATTAGACAGAATAATAGAAGAAAACTCTACTGAAGAATTAGAAGATTTATCAGAAGAATCAATAAATTCAGATATAGAAGAAAATATACTTTTACCAATAGAAAATCAATTTGAAGAAGAAGAAGAAAATAATCAAATAAATCGAATAAAAAGAAGGAACTATAATAACAATAAAAATTGGAAAATGGTAAGTTCAAAAAACTATTATCCAAGACCAAGTCCTCCAGATATTCAATATGAAGAAAGATCAAGATTCAGAACTACTAAATATGATGGAGATTCAATATATGAATGGAATATAGATGGAAAAGCTGAATATGAAGTATTAAATAATTTGCAAGAAATGGGAATGGCTAGACTAGCTTACAAAATAAAAAACATTCAAGAAAGAAATATTGCAACATTATTAGTTTCAGGATTTACTGGACAATTAAAAAATTGGTGGGATAATGCTTTAACATTACAAGATAAACTATCAATATTAGATCATACACAAGAAATCGAAGATGATCAAGGAAATATTCAAATACAGTCTGATGCTGCAGAATTTTTAATTGTAACAATAGTCATATATTTTATAGGAAATCCAAAAGAAGAATTAAATTCTAATAAAACATTTTTAACAAATTTAAGATGTCCAACCTTATCAGATTTTAGATGGTATAAAGATATGTTTTTAACAAATGTATTAAGAAGACCGGATTGTAATGCTTCATTTTGGAAAGAAAGATTCATAACCGAAACTGTTCTGCATTATATTCGTTTGGCGGGTTTTGGAGGGGTATTAGAGTGTGGATATATGATGATTGATCATGCGTTGATCACTAGTTTAGTGGAGCGGTGGCGCCCCGAGACTCATACATTCCATCTCCCCGTTGGGGAGACGACGATTACCTTACAGGATATAGAGGTCCTGCGGGGCCTACCCACAGATGGACCTCCAGTTACAGGGATAGATACGTCTCATACCATTGAGGAGTGGAAAAATTTATGTGAGGAGTTGCTTGGTTTCCCTCCAATGATGTCCGATTTTGATGGACAACGGCTCAAATTGGGGTGTTTATCTAGAGTATTAGATGTAGAGCTGCCATCGGATGCCCCGGATGTCCAATGTCGACAGCGGGCCCGCATATACCTACTTCTGCTGTTAGGGGGCCATTTATTGTCCGATAAATCCGGCAATAAAGTCCCGCTATTGTATATGCCATTATTACGAGACTTGGAAACTGTTGGACAATACAGTTGGGGCAGTGCGGTTTTAGCGACTCTGTATCGTTCATTATGTGCCGCAACATCTCCCTTAAGATCTTCTATCGCCGGACCATTAGTTTTGCTACAGGTACAGTACCGTAATTGGTATCTTGGCTTTATGTACCTGTTAATTTACTCCAACATCAAAGGAAGTCGAATTCAAATCTAACTTTTTTTTCCAGCTATGGGCGTGGGAACGGATACCTACAATGCGTCCTGATCGAGTGCAACCGTTAGAGCACTATCCTGGTCCATATGGAGCTCGGTATGTATATCAGATATATATATGCACCTAAAAATGAGAAGATGCTCGAGACATTTTGGAGTTGTCAAGAGTCATGATTTATTCAATGCAGGTGGAATGTTCAATTAGATCTACACAGAGTAGCGAGACATGTTGTGTCCATATTTCGAGATCAGTTGACAGGCCTACGTGATCTTCAGGTCTTATTTTTAGATATATTATGCTCTGTATTATCCTGTATCTAATTTGGCTATATTATACCATAGTAAATAATTTGAAAGTTGGAATAATTATTGTCTTGCAGTTCATATGGCAGCCATATTCGGAGGATGTGCTTGCTTCTCTGCCTGCATATTGTACAGCTGGACGCGCTATTTGGAGATCTGTCACATATCTAATATGTTGGGGAGTTGTCGAGCCACATCTTCCGTATCGCGTCATGAGACAGTTTGGATATCATCAGTCTGTGCCTGATATGAGATTGACCAAAAATCAAGCAGCACTACATTCTTTGGATCGTCGTGGCAAGGGGAATCAGAACTGGATAACTACACATGGAGCATACATTGATGTGTGGACTGATCGCCATTCTCATGTGGAAGACGGTGTTGTAGCTGAAGATCCCAGATATCCGTCCGATGAGTATCGTCAGTGGTATCGCGAGCGGACAGTGCTGTATGTTTCAAATCCTACTAGGCAGCTCGCTTTCCCGGAGGGCTTTCAAGGTGATAGCGCCAGAGCTCAATATCTGGTAAGTTTTTCTTACAATTTATGAAATAGATTCCCAATGAGGTCGCTATAGATTTAACTATATTGATCCTTATGCATCGCTATATTTGCACATCATATGGATGCTATGACTCAGGTGTATTACATGGCAGAGACCTCTGTAATACAGAGTGACGAACAACACGCGAATTATTTTAATGCAATGAAGGACTTTGCATCCATGACATTGGAAACTGTAGGTGAGTCTTCCCGACTTGCATTTCGCCCTCCAAGAGTGCCACAGTAAATTCCACAGCCAGTAGACCCGCGTCGCGTTGAAAGAGCTCATAGGAATGTTCACGGAGGCTAGCATGGTGGTGGACGGCGTCGTAGATTCCGATCACCAGAACCCACCGTCCAAACTGGATTTGCTACTAGCTCACAGGCTACTGAGCATCCATGCACCTCTACGGGACCTATTGCTCATTCTAGGTCCCCAGTGTCTATGGCGGAGTTCACGACCAATACAGACTTACATCACGGCAGTGGTGAACAACATGTGGGAGGTATAGATGCAGGCCAAGGTACCCAAGCACTAGATGCCAGACTTGAGTCACAAATTACTCAAGTCGATATAGTGATGCCAGCCCAGCCACGTCGAACACAAAGAGTACACAAACCTCGAGGATGTGGCACTCATGGAAAACTTGGACATCACTGATATTGAAAACTCTACTTGTGTGATTGTGTTATTCAATATTATTCTAAGTGTAGGGGAGGAATATGTGTGGTCTATGTTGTAGTAGTTTTATGATACCAATGTGGACAAGTTGTTGGAAGTATTGTTTAGATGAAATGGAGTGGTCTATTTTGGATTTGCTGGCAGGGAGCTAAGGGAAGCTTTTAAGGGGAGATTATGTCAAAAAATTTTCAAACTTAAAAGTAAATGTACATATATATGTATATTAATTATAATAAATTACAATAAGCGAAGGCAGAATTGAAAATGAATTAATACATATATACATAAAATGTATATACATATATTTATCATATAATAATTTATACATTAATATAATATTCATTTATAATTTATACAATCATTACATTTAAATAATATTTATATTATGTAGTCCAAGTCAATAGAGCATATTTTTGTATTTTTATTTAATTATATTAAATATATATTTAAAAATATTTATGATTTTTTTACAAACACATAATACTATATCAATATTTAAACAATAAAAATCCTCAATTATAAAAACTTATTAATTAGGTCAATTACAAAACTGTATTAATTAGGAGAATGCGAGATTAAGAATGCCCATGGAATGCGAGTTACTCAATCATTTATATTAAGAATATAAATAGATTCCCAGGTGTCTCAAAGTACGCAAGACACATCGAACTCCTTGAAAAGTGAATAAGGATAAGAATAAAGAGAAGAACAAATGCGACACAAACTAAAGGCAATATTTGACTTCAAACACAGCCATCCAAGGTGTGCGTGCTCAAGAGCATTATATTATAGAGTTTGATAATTTGAATGCCTTTCTTGTCCGATATATGAGGAAATCCTAGGAACCTTCGCTAGGGCTCCACTGCGGCGCTCGTCGCAGCAGCATGGCGGCCAAGGGACCGTCGGGGCAGCCTCCGCCAGGCGGAGCGCCGCGGTCCTTTGCAGTAGTGGTCTCATCAACCCCGACAGAATCCATGGCGTTGGGGGAGGTTTCCTCTTTCAGGGGAGAACCTGCCTTGCGCCTTTCCCGTCAAGATATTGACACACTTTCACAGCCTTTCCAGAATGCTTTGGTGGGTCGGTTTCCCTTCAGCAGACCGCCAATGGAAATCATCCGAAAATTTATCACCTCCATCGGCTTAAAGGGAGAATGCGCAGTGGGTCTTTTGGATTCCAAGCACGTCCTCATCCGGCCGTCGTTGGAAGAAGACTACACACGACTGTTTGCTCGCCGACTATGGTACGTCCAGAACTCCCCCATGTCACTCTCGAAGTGGTCGTTGGAGTTTAAAGCAGATCACGAACTGGCGATAGCTCCGGTGTGGGTTTCTTTCCCAGAACTCCCAATCCCTTTCTTTCAGAAGAACCAGCTTCTGCGCCTTGCTGCGACTCTAGGCCGCCCTCTTCGGGTAGATGCAGCAACCATTGATCTGCGCCGTCCGTCGGTGGCTCGGGTAATGGTGGAAGTAAATGTGGCGGCGCCGCCGGCGAAGCGGGTTTGGATAGGAGATGAACAATTTGGCTTCTGGCAGGCAGTGGAATGGGAGAACGTCCCTGCGTATTGCCCTTACTGCAGTAACTTTGGGCATGAAGAGGCGGGCTGTTTTACGAAGAACCCAGCTTTGCATCGGGCGAAGGACGCTCAGAAAGCAGTTCCGAAGCTGGTGCGGGCGTATGTGCCGAAGGTTACCGGAGAAGTCCCATCTGATCAGGTTCCAGCACAGGACCGACCAACAGCGGACAGCGGGGCTGCTGTGACACTGGAGATCGGTCGCTTGCTTGACGGCCAGGTGACGGAACAGCAGCAGGTGTGGGCGGCAGGTGCAGATAGGATGCGGCAAGAGCATGCTGCAGCAACAACGGTGGATGCGGGCACGGTGCTGGATGACCCTACTCTAACTCTGGAGGTGCAGCGATCTGGGAGCGTTGCCTTAGAGGAAGCTCTGGAAAGCGTGCAGGAAGAGGGCGAGCTGCGGGTTGAGCATACGTCGGCAGGGACTGTCCCATCGCCTGGGGGGCAGCAGGTGATGGATGGTGGATACTCTCCAGCAGCGCCCCCCTCGCCCCAACCCCAGCAACCTGGGTTGTCTGTCGCTGCGTTAGTAGAGGAGACCATTGTTTCTACCGCAGGTGAAATCATTCATAAGTTGGCTGATCAAGTGTTTAGGGAAACCGAAGAGATGCGTTCGTTAAAGCCCCAAGATACGAACCAACTTGAGGAGGGGGAATTCACTGATTCGGAGTCTGGGGATGGCCTTTCACCGGCAAATGGAACATTCACAGAGGCTGCATTCTCTTCGCAGCAACGTAAGCAAATTATGTCTAATGTGGGAAACGATGCACTTGAGAAGGTAAACAAAAGTCATGATTCACATAATGAGGTATTAGGTGGAGACACACCCCTTGTGGGTACAATTACAAGAGCAGAAACGGAAAAGTCCCGGTCTGAAAATGTGCCACAGTTTAAAGATGTGTTCGAAGAGTTTCAATGGGAAAAATTACATGGTAAGATTCCTCTCGTTCAGCTAAAACCTTTTCTTCATTCAAGTACAAAATGCACTGATAACAAACATGAAGAGGGAAAGGATGATTCACATCGTGATAAAGACAATTATCACGACCAGGAACTAGTTCACGAGCAATTTACCCAAGTGATGTCAAGGAAAACGAGGAAGCAGCTCTCAAAACAAGGTAAAACAATGCAAACACGTCAAGATGGTAAACCAAAGTTCCATGTTCACTCACAATCCCACAAATGTGGGGCACCCTTGTGTGGATGATTTCGTTCTATTGCTCTGTTATATGTTTTAATCATTTTGTTTTTCATATGGTTGATCCATAACTGTCTTTCTATTTTACTTCAACAGAGGTCAGGTCTGGCCCCCCTCTAATGCGCTGTATTTTCTTTTTCTTTCTTTCGATATAAATAAATTAGGGGATGGCATCCCTACCCCAATTTGGGGCTTTGCCAAAAAAAAAAAAAAAAAAAAAAAGATTCCCAGCCAAACCCCCGCTAGAGCGTTTATGTTTATGTTGAGTCGGTGTTAACCTGGTTAGCAAAAGGCCATTCTTATTCCCAGTAAAACATCGGCGCCGGTGTTTCCATATCAGACAGCGCCGGTGTTTCACTGGAGAGAGCAGGGATAAATACATTTGTATAACACCGGCGCCGGTTATACTCATCTCTGCTTGCGCCGGTGTTTCCCGGGAACGAAAACATTACCTTACCAAAAAAACCGACGCCGGTCTTACTCATCCTAAGATGCGCCGGTGTTTCCCTGGGATGCTAGTCCACTTACACATTTTAAAAACACCGGCGCCGGGTTAGGTTTTAAAAAGCTGAGCCGGTGTTGACCTGACAATTCGCAGCTGAACCGTGGCTTTGGAACATTGACTTTTTACCAAATTTTCAATTTTGACCGCAATTGTGAAAACCTAATTTTCACTTCTTCACTCTTGGGTCAGGCAGCCTTCACGACACTCTTCGTTTCCCCGCTTAATTCTTCCCCGCTTCCGCTCAATTCATCTGCTTTGATTCTCATTTCTCAGCTAGTTCATCAATTTAGCTCAGCTGGGTTTTGGTTATCCCCTTTTCCCCTTTTATTCCTTTCATCTTCGACTCAAGGATCGTTTGGTTGCTGGGTTTGTAGCCTTCGCCGCTTCAAAGCCTTCCGTCCCCTCGGCCTTCTTCCGTCTCCATAGCCGCCGCTGCATTTCTCAGCTACTACCCATCTGCGGTTTTACCAGGTTTGTTTTTCCCAATTCCCTTTTTTTTCATTTTCTTCACAAATTTTGGGTTTTGGTTGCCCTACCGTCCCCTCGGCCCTCATAGTCAATGTTAAGGAACTGCTGTAATTTTTATCAATTTATGATGAGAATGAACTTGTCTCAGCCATGATCCTTATTACATCCCTATGAGCACGTTTCCATATTTTTTTTTGATTTGTCCTAAAATACATAAGCTGATTAGCCTAAATAAAATTAGATAAGCTGTCTCCCTTCAGATGTTGTAGGTGTTTTCATTTTGTTTGGAGTAAAGTAGATAATTTGGTTGGCCTGTTGTTGAGTTGCGCCGTTGCTGAATCTGGAACTTAATTGGGAGGCATTTGTGTTAATGTATTTGGCTAACAATGAAAAATGTCAATTAATTGGTGGTCAGGCAATCCACTGTTGGTAGATAAGTAGTTAAATTCCCGGTACTTCACTGTTAATTTCCACTGTTAGGCCTCAGTAAAAGTGTTTTTATTTTGGTATCATCTGAAAACTGGATTAAAAAAAGGGAAAAAAAAGTCGTCGGACTTTAAGTTGGACAGCCTATCATATGCTCCCTTGTCTCACTTAATAACTGTAATTCATAACCACGTCATTGTGGAGTTGTATTATAATTTGATATTGAAGATGTAGCCAGTTTAACTGTTATTCAAGTACTTCCATTTGGCGAATTGGGATGAATATCAGTGCTAGGAATTTTTGCCGAATTTTTGGCACGTTTGATTACTTGGTGAAGTGTAGTGAGAATTTGACAGAAGCTGAGCAAAATTTGCATCTCAGTTGTTGAACAAATCTTATATATGGTCTTGAAAATGCTTAATATAACAGCCCTAATCTTAGATATAATAACCATGACTCTCTCAATAATAATCTAATACTACCATTTATCGTACTTGCCAGTCTTTCAATATTTATCTATTATAGGTCAACATTTAATCCTATAATTAGAAAACTTTATGTACCAAAGTGCATAGTCGACAAAGATAGCTGGATGAAACACAATTTGATTTTCTGAACAGCAAGGTTATTTTCTTTATTTGGCCAAAGCTTTTTCTGCTTCTGTCTATAACAGCATGTTGTTTATACATATCCGGTTTCTGTCCTTTTGGTTTAAATTTCATAAATCATGTGAGCCAGACAATCCACCATTAGTGTATTTGACAGACGCTGGGATGCTAGTCCACTTATTAAATAATATAAGTCCATTA